CATTGTACAGTTGCATTAAGTGCCGTAATGTGCACCTCTGCCTACTCCTTCGGAGATAAAAGGTTGTTGTGATGTTGTGTTACATACATACATCACGCCTTTTATCCCCGAAGGGGTAGGCAGAGGTGCACATTACACCACTATACAATGTTGTGTTAGGATTATTTTAAAACATTTCAAAATAGTCTACTAGAAATAAAATTTAGGACACTACCCTATCAATAATTCCAGAATGTCAGCCTCAGTAAGCAAGCCTCGGGAGCTTATAATTGAGTATGATGGCAAACCGACAGAAGAACAGCTGCCCGATATATATAGAGACTTAGATAAGTACATGAGGGATACCGTGCAAGATGCTTTGGACTTTATCGAAGATCATAGGTGAGTGGAATTGTATAGTTTTTCGACTTTTCAGTTGATTTTTATTGTTTTTTTTATGGCATAAGCCGGTAAACGAGCAGACGGATCACCTGATGGTAAGCAATCGACTTCGCCCATGGACACCTGGAACACCAGAGGCGTTACAAGTGCGTTACCGGCCGTTTGGGTATTAGGAGTTTGAGGATCGTTGGGGATTCAGGGATTGTGGAGATTGGGGAAGGGGAGAGGTAATTGGGCCTCCGATAATCTCACTCACACGACGAAACACAACGCAAGCGTTGCTTCACGTCGGTTTTCTGTGAGGCCGTGGTATCACTACGGTCGAGCCGGCCCATTCGTGCCGAAGCATGGAAAATTATTGTTTTATTTATTTATTTATTTATTTATTTATTTATTACACACACAAGTTAACATTACAGGTTTAGGACCCAATGCGATAACAAGGAATTATAAAATCTAGCGACTACTTACACCATATTAGACTTTAGGTACTAACTAATAATCCAAACTATTACAGAGATAAAGAGAAACACAAACCCTGTATTAGGTAAACTTAATAAAATAAAGACTTAAAGACTAAAGAAAGAATAAAGACTAATTTAAATAGCATTATTATTGCCTATCTATAACATAAATTATATAACAGAATCTTTGTGAATTCACTCGGCTGACAGGTAATGACATCTATTTGCTCGTGCACAACATTTATATTACGGATAGCTTGCGTAACCGCGGCTTTCGCCAGTAAGTTCGTCCTAGCCACCGGCACCGCCAACAGAGGCGGACGCCGCCGCCTCCTTACATAATTGTCAGGTACCCACAAACTGATTCTTTGAAGAACATCTGGGTTATGTTCCAATCCCCGAATCAATTTCACCAAATAGGTGGTAAGAGTAAACTCTCGACGCACCTTCAATTGATTGTACCCGACCATACCCAGCACAAATAACGAGGGATACATTAACGGATACAACGGGTACACTCCATACAGCTTCCAATACAAGTGACGAGTGAATTTGTTCTGAACTCGTTCTAACATCAGAGAGTACTTATTTTCATGAGGCGCCCATATCATTGCGCTGTGCTCCAAGTGACTTCTCACTAATGCGTCATAAAGGGCCCGAATTGTAGAGATGTTAGTGAAATCTCGCGTTTGTCTCAATAAAAATCCTAGATTTCTATACGCCTTCTTACAAATTTTCATTATGTGCTCACGGAACAACAACTCCGGGGTCATGTAAACTCCCAAATCACGCACCTGTGTGACTCGTTGTAGAGGTGTATTTTCAAGCCTGTATTCATGTAGCAGAGGTGAACGCGCGCGAGTGAAACTTATCGTAGAACATTTTGACTCGTTAAAATACAGCTTGTTTTCATGACTCCATTGAACTATTCTATCAATGTCATCCTGTAAGCATTTGCAGTCTGTTTCATTGGTAATTTCTAGCAGCAACTTTAAGTCATCTGCAAATAATAAACAAGAGCTATGTTTGACGACCTGTGGTAAATCATTTATCATAATTAAAAATTCGAGAGGCCCCAAATTACTGCCCTGGCTTACTCCCGATCTAGTGTAATAGGGATCCGATTCCCAACCATTGTAGTCGACAAACTGCTGCCTATCCTTCATGTAACTGGCAAAAAACCGAACTAACTGTGGCTTGCACCCAATCTCAACTAGTTTCCTTAATAAGATGTCATTATCGACGGTGTCAAATGCTTTTCTAAAATCAAAATAAGCTGCGTCAACCTGCACTCCAGCATCTACCGCTGGCACCAACCTTGTCATAAAGCTAAGGAGGTTTGTTGCCGTGCTACGACCCGGTCTAAATCCGTGTTGTGAGTCCGAGATCTGTCCATGTATCTGTGCCTGTAAGCTACGCTGCACAGCTGACTCAAACACCTTAGCCGGGGATGACAACACTGCCACTGGTCTATACCCCTCAATGCTAGAACATGCCTTACCTTTAGGTACTGGAATGACTCTGGTAATTTTCCAACGTGTCGGAAAAGTAGCTAAACTCAGGCATGTATTAAATATATACCGCAATGGTTCTACTAGTACTCTACTACAGTCTTTAACAAGAAAAGCTGGTAGACCATCCGGACCCGCTGATCGCTTGGCTTTTAAACATTCAAGGGCATTGTGTACGTCCTTGACAGTAAGCCGCCCCACCTCCACATCTGTATTGTTCCCCGTCTCCGCCGCCGCTGACGCTGAAGCCTCTTGTGGATCCAGTCGTGGCGGATCAGTACTATATACAGATTCAAAAAAGGCAGCAAACTGCTGAGCGCATTCGCTATCCGATAGATATTTACCATCTTTAACAATTGGTCGTCTCGCCGTTGCACCTCGCTGCGATCTTATAAACTGCCAAAACGACTTTGGGTCCTTAGCAAACTGACATTGAATTTTACTTTGTTCAGTGTTTCAGTCGATACCTACCGTTTTTTTAAGGGGGAAAATAATTATCGAAATGACTTCTCCCGTCTAGGTGACGGAGCGTTCAAGTATTATATAACGAAATTTTTGAAGATTTTTGACCCCCTCCCTCCCCTTCTGTAACGCAGTGTAACGTTTTTCTGTAATTCTTCACAGTTTGTCAGTGATGTCTAATTATAAGTGATACATTATTTATTTCCATTTTGTGTTTCAGACACGACCCCACGGAAATATACGGCGATGAGTTGTATGATGAGTTCATGAGCATTCCAGACCCCACCATAGACCCCAAAATGGTGTTCAAGAAGTTTCTATACGTTTTGGAGCAACTAGGTATGTGTCATCTTACTGTACACCGTGTATATATTTTGTGAGTGAGGTTACCGGAGGCCCAATTACCCTCCCCTTCCTCAATCTCCCCAATCCCTGAATCCCCAACGATCCTCAAACTCCTAATCCCCAAAAGGCCGGTAACGCACTTGTAACGCCTCTGGTGTTCCAGGTGTCCATGGACGACGCCGATTGCTTACCATCAGGTGATTCGTCTGCTCGTTTACCGGCTTATGCCATAAAAAAATTGATGGGCCGACCCTTGACCACTATCTCGCCTGGTGGTAAGCGGTGATGGAGCACGTCGTCCCATAAGCAACCTATTCACTCGGGCCTTGAAGACTCCCAGGGTGCCTACTCTTGAATCTAATTCCGATCTATCGACATTGACATTATGAAATTCCGTACTCTTGAGTTGCAACACTAGCGCCTTTTGAATCCGTATTGCGTGGATATTTAATGAACTAAATGGTATTGAGTTTGGCTTTATATTCTGTACTCTGAATGCTATTGTAACAGCTACGATTGTGGTTGTATAGTGTTGACATTGAATAATTATTGAGATTTTATTGGATTGAAATTGCATTGACATTGAGATTGGTTTCAAGAGTAAGCACCCAGGTTATACCCTTCAGCAGCTGTAGTCAAATGCCATTTAGCGCTTGTGTACATTTAGAATTGAAAACCAAATTATATGGAATTGACATCTCTGTAGACAAGCGCTAAAGTGGCGTTTGGCTGAAGGCACAGTTGTGCTACCCCTAGCCTTGTCAGTATATTTAGACTTCGGTATCCGCTGCCAGGATAATCTGAAGCTTAGCTGTCACCGATACTTATGCATCGCCTTTTATCCGCTTCGGGGATAAAAGGCGTGATGTTATGATAACATAACATCACGCCTTTTATCCCCGAAGCGGTACTTAATGTCACTGTACAATGTAACACCCATTTCTCACTATTTATGTTATGAGCCCCATGTAATAGGGGGTGAGCGTATTGCCATATACCGGGCACAATTCCAGACTCCGTGCTACTACTGAATATTGTATATCCCAATATTAAGCTATGAACTTGGGAATCGAACTCTAATTATAATAGTAATAATGGGTTAATCCCTAAAAGCCTCGACATCCATCTTAGGAGGCTGGCGTTAGGTGGATGGATCAAGGGCCTGATACAGAAGGCAGTTCTCCTAGAAACGGCACGTATCGTGAGGAGGTTTCTATCTCTGGAGCCCTAACCACCGGTAGCTTGGACCATGCTCCCGCTACTATTTTTTATATTTTTAAATATTTTTTTTTTATTTTGTAAGTAGTATTTAAAAATGTAATTTATAGAGAATTTTAAATAAATATATGGAATAGTAATAATATCTACTTTATTCTTCCCAGGACCCTACGCAGCCGACAAAGCAGCATTCTGTCTCCTAAACAAACTAGAAAAACTAAAAATTAAAATTCCTTACGAGAGACATTTCATTCTCATGTGTCTATGTACGACAGTTTTTATAAAAATTCGATGTTACGCCGAACTAGTATTTAACACCATAGAGGATGAATGGACCAGAATCAAAACGTTTTCGACACCGAAAATATTACGATTCGTCGAAATTTTGGAAAAATTCAAACCGCCCGAGTCAAAGAATTCGACAAATGTCAGATCGGACTGTGATAGTGCATCTATCAAACCCGATGCTGATCTTGACAGCAAAGATGACTCAGATAATACGAAAAAGAAAGAAGACAATATAAAAAAACTACTAAAAGATATAGAATCGTGTGATTTTAACACTTTAGGCGACAAAATACAAGACAAAGTCCATATATACGAAACTAATCTGAAAGAATTGCCCAATTCTAAATCGGATAGCGACGAAAAATCCGATTCGACGCCGGAAAGTCCGAAAAACCAACCGAATGATATACCAAACGAATTTTCCGAACCAAAATCTGACAATAATGATCAATTAAAAAGTCAGCCGGATGGTCAACAGAATAGTCAGCCGTCCGTTCAAGATAGTCAGCCAGCAACTAAAATTGGAATGGATCATAAAGGGAATGAATTTCTTTTTCAACAACGAGGTTTATTAGGGTTTACCAGAAGAGCTGGGAATAGGCTGCGGGGTAAATCTAGGATGCAAAGGAATAATGCAGCCAGAGCCCTGCAGATGCAACAGAACCCTGATGCTTTGTGCGGCATTGTTTTTATGAAGGAGCCGCTTATTGCCAAGATCATGTTCATGGTGATTGTGGTAAGTTTTCGTTTATAATGTACTAGCGGCCCGTCCCGGCTTTGCACGGGGGGCTTAAGATTTTTTACATAAACGATTGTTATGGGTAAACTATAAAAGGTAGACATATGCTCTCGCAGACTTTTTTAAAAATAATGTTAAGATGAACAATTCATCTAGAGGTATAGAGCATTTTTGTATAACTTTAACTATATGCTCAGCGCACGCCACGGAAGGCCTCAGAAACGATACTTTTCCCCCGTTTTTAAAACATTTTTGGTTACTGCTCCACAACTATAGGACCTAGCGTGATATTATATAGCCTATGTTCCTATGTTACTTCTGAATAATGCAGCTTTCTAATGGTAAAAAAATTATTGCAATCGGTCCAGTAGTTTTTGAGTTTATTCATTACAAACATACAAAAATACAAATCTTTCCTCTTTATAATATTAGTATAGATTTCCTGAAGGGTCTGTGTATAAGTGTGGGAGAGCCATGCTTCGGCACTGCTGGGCCGGCTCGACCGGAGTGACACCACGGTCGAGCAGAAAACCATAGTGAAGCAACGTTGTGTTGTGTTTCGTCGTGTGAGTGAGGTTACCGGATGCCCAATTCCCCCCCCCCCCCTTTCCCCAATCCCTGAATCTCCAGCAATCCTCAAATTCGTAATCCCAAAAGGCCAGTAACGCACTTGTAACGCCTCTGGTGTTCCATGTGTCCATGGGCGACGCCGATTGCTTACCATCAGGTGATCCGTCTGCTCGTTTACTCGCTTATCCCATAAAATAGGGTATATATAACCTGGGAGTTTTCAAGGCCCGAGTGAATAGGTTGCTTAAGGGACGACGTGCTCCATCGTAGGCCGCGTCATAGCTTACCGCCAGCCGAGATAGTGGTCCAACGTCGCCCCATCAAGAATATAAAAAAACGACCGCCTCATTGGCCGAGTGGACGCCATTGTGACTACTGGACAATGACTCTCGAGTTCGATTCCCGGGTCGGGCAAGTTACGCTGGGTTTTTAAAAAAAAATCTCAATAGTAGCACGGCATCTGATATTGTGTCCGGTGTATGGCAATAGGCTCACCCCCTATTACATGAGACTCATAACATAAATAGTGAAAAGTGGGTGTTACATTGTACAGTGGCATTAAGTGCCGTAACTGACTACCCTTTCGCGGATAAAAGGCGTGATGTTATGTTATATTTCTAATTATTTATTCCGCAGGACATGTCCCGCTGCAACCCGTGTCTGAGTTACGTGTGTGTGCAGTTCTGTGCCACCGAGTCCCCGGCCGACCCGGGAACCGAACCCAGGGAGTGTTTGAGGCAGGGAAAGCGACAGGAGGATGTGCTGAAGAAGTAAGTCTTTAATTTAGTGATTTTATCGTACTGTATTAAGATACCACTGTGATTGTAGATATAAAGTTAATGTTGTTACAATAGGGATGATGACAGGGTATGAAAATTAAAAATAAAATTAGTCCATCGGTTAGGTTATGAAAAAATATTAGACACGTATTTTTTATTTTGTCGTATAAGAAAACAATACTTAGATAAAACGAATCAAAGTTTAGGAGTGGAGGCTAAAACGTCATTTCTACGTATAAAATGTGCATAGAAGTGACGTCACGCGACATTTCAAATCAATATATCGTCGAAAGTATTCATTTGTGTATGAAAATAAAAAATACGTGTCTAAAGTTTTAAAATAATCTACCAGACGGATATTAAAATTAAATTTAAGAAACTACCCTATTAAACTGTCAAACACCAAGCGGTCACCGGTGACCGCAACCTATTGTTCTATAATTGTGTCTATAATGACGGTACTCGACGAGTTAGGTGTTTTGTTCATGTCCTCCACAGATTCCGTATGCACGAATGTAACCTACTGCTAGCGACGTCAGCACTAGAGGAGGGCATTGACCTCCCGCGGTGTAACCTCGTACTGAGGTGGGATGTACCACCTTCGTGAGTAAACATTTCTTTGTTTTTTATTGCGTCATCATCATCAACAGCCTATAAGTGGCCTCTGCTGAGCAAAGCCTCTTCTCACAGGGAGAAGATTTGAGCATTAATTGCGACGCTTGCTCAATGCGGGTTGGTGATTTTAAACTTATTAGAAATTAAAGGCCCAGGTTTCCTCAAGATGTTTTCCTTCACTGTTTGTCAGTGGTGTCTAAATGATCTTAGAAAGTACATATAACTTGGAATAAGTCATATTGGTTCTTGCCTTTGGAAGGTTTCGAACCCATGCATGATAAGCGGGCGTCTTTAACCTCTGGGCCAATCTGGTAAGCAATCGGCGTCGCCAATGGACACCCGAAAAACCAGAGGTCCAAGAAGTGCGTTACCGGCTTATTAGGGATTAGGAGTTTGAGGATTGTGGGGGATCCGGGATTGGGGAGACTGGGGAAGGGAGTAATTGGGCCTCTGGTAACCTCACTCACACGACGAAACACAACGCAAGCGTTGCTTCACGTCGGTTTTCTGCTCGGCCGTGGTATCACTCCGGTCGAGCCGGCCCATTCCTGCCGAAGCATGGCTCTCCCACGCTTATTATAGTTCTTGGTTATAGCTCTGCCTCGTTGGCCGAGTGATCGCAAGTGCGACTGCCGAGCAAGGGGTCTCGGGTTCGATTCCCGGGTCGGGCAAAGTAATACTGGGTTTTTTTAAAAAAACTCAGTAGTAGCATGCAGTCTGGAACTGTGCCCGGTATATGGTGATAGGCTCACCCCCTATTACATGGGACTCGTAACATAAATAGTGAAAAGTGGGTGTTACATTGTACAGTGGCATAATGTGCACCTCTGCCTACCCCTTCGGGTTAAAAGGCGTGATGTTATGTTATGTTATGTTATGTTTATAGTAATTGAGCCCCACGGCCCGCAGGTACCGTTCGTACGGCCTGTGCCGCGGGCGCGGCCGCGCGGCGCGCTCGGCGGCCGCCCTCCTGTGCAGCGACTCCACCGACACTACTGCACTGTTGCTACACCATGTCGCGACCTACAGGGAACTCGATCAGGTATGTGGTTTTAAGATCATTATCACCGTCAACAGCCACTGTGCAAAGCCACTTCTCCCGCGGAGAAGATAGAGCATTAATCACCACGCTTGCTCAATGCGAGTTGGCGATTTCAAACTTATAATTAGAAATTATAAGCCCAGGTATCCTTCACCGTTTGTCAGTGGTGTCTAAATAATCTTAGAAAGTACGTATAACTCGGAGAATGTCACATTGGTACTTGCCGTTGGTAAGTTTTGAACCTGCTGAACTCTTATGCATGGGAAGTAGGCATCTTAAACCTCTGGGCCATCGCACACAAGTTAGTTAATGTCTAAATCGAAAATCAGTAGCCAGTAGACTGCGCCGCGACCGCGCACGCTGCTCATGAGGAAGAGCCCCTCTGTGGTTCGAAACTAGTAGAGCTTTTCTCAGTATATTCATGTGAGTAACCCGCGATATTTAGAAAGAAAGAAAAAATATTTATTCGACAGGAACGCACGCACACAGATACAAAAAAAAATACAAAATTAAAAAAGAAAAGAACAAATAAATACACTTATTTATATAGATATAGAAATAAAAAAACAAAGAAACTACAGCGTATAACAACACATTGACAATAGAATACTAACACAGTAATTAAAAATGAATAAAAACTAGATATAAATAAATAAATAACATTTAACGGTGCGTGCCCTTGCCAAAAGGGCCTACATCTCAGCATTAAGTTGAGCGTACATGCCCAACGCTGATTTTCAGATGGCACCCTGCAGTGACTCACGGACGGCGGTAAGCCGCTCAGGGAAAAAGAAATGAAATATAAAGCATATAAATAAAATAAAGCAGTAGTTTTAGTTAATAAGGCTCAAAGTTTAAAGTATTACATTAATTTTTTTATTTAGGCTGTAGTTATCTATCCAGGAAGACAGTGCTTAGCGAGCTGATCTAAATGCCCTGACGCCCCATGTCTCTATAAAAACGTTGTGCTTCATGTGTTTGATCTACCATAAAAAAAGAAAAATAAAACACTGGGCACAGTCGAAACATGTCCCCCAAGCGCTTAACTTGCTAAATTAATTAAATAAGGTTTGTAATAACTAAGTAAATAAAAAGGATATAGCAATAGGCTCACCCCCTATTCATGGGACTCGTAACATAAATAGTGAAAAGTGGGTGTTACATTGTACAGTGGCATTAAGTGCCGTAATGTGCACCTCTGCCTACCCTTCGAGGATAAAAAGGCGTGATGTTATGTTATGTAATATTAGTTGGTATATTTTCTTTCTTCCAGATCATCAGCCGTAAATGTGGCTGCGGAATTCAGGACGAACCACCCCAATCCGAAGAAGATCATGCAGACGCATTCACCACATTTGTTAAACCATATTCTCCCAACGACAATAAAAATACAAATCAAAAAAATACAGAAACAGTCAGTGACACAGTGGCCATCGATGACACAGACGCCAACGACACTCTGTCAACGAATGACACAGAACCAATATCCGCGAATGACGCTTTTCAAATAAATGACGCGATGTCAATCGACATGAATGACGCTCAGCCAATGAATGACGCGGTCGACAGTATATGTCGAAATGATGTTAATATACATAATTTGGATATTAACAATGATTTAGTAGAATTGAATGATAAAATAGCTAATGATTTGAAAATTGATGATAATAAAAATCAAATCGATGGAGTTTTACCAAACAAAGAAGGTTTAGATAAAGATGTGATATCTCAAAACAATGAGACTGGTGAAATAGAACTGAATCCTTCTACAAAAGATGAAAAAATACTCGAAAATGACGTTAAAAGTGATATATCAAATAAAATAGCGCACAAAGATATAGATGTGTCGTCCAAAGATAAAGATATGTCGTCAAAAGATATGTCATGCAAAGGATATTGTAATAAGTGTTTTAATGCGAAGTTAAATGGTGTTTGTTTGTGTACGAATGTGAATTTATATTATCAGTTGTTGGCCAAATCTAATAATAGCAACCGCGGTGAACATAGAAAGGGTCAAAATGAAGAATCCTTTGCTAGCGTCGATTTGAGTACGGCTATCGCTTTGATCAATCGGTAAGATATTTTTTTGCTTTTTTTTTTTAAATGTTGCCCCACTCTAGGATTATTTCCTGTGTCGTGGGTGCGTTTACAAACATACAAGTTGACATACACATGACACCCAGACCCGGAACAACAATTTGTGGATCACACAAAGTGTTGTTCCGTGCGGGAATCGAACCCGCGACACGTTGCACTGCAGCTGGTTGCCCAGCCACCGCACCAACCGTGCTGTCAAATCAGTATTTTAATATATACTAGCTGCTGCCCTCAACATCGTAAGCGCATTCCCGTTTTCTCCCGTTCTCGTACGATTTTTTGGATTTTTTCTGTCATAAGAACCTTCTCCTGACAATAACAAACACAACAAAAAAAAAAACGGCCAAATCGGTCCAGCCATTCTCAAGTTACGGCGTGACAACGGGAAACGGGTTTTATTTTTATCTATATATAAATAAAATTATTCGTTTAGTACGCAATGTTTTCAGTTTTTTATGGTAAAAGCCGGTAAACGAGTAAACGGATCACCTGATGGTAAGCAATCGGCGTCGCCCATGGACACACGGAACACCAGAGGAGTTATAAATGTGTTACCGGCTTTTTGGGTATTGGGAATTTGAGGACTGTGGGGTATTCGGGGATTGGGAAACTAAGGAGGAGGGGGGGGGGGGGAAATGGGCCTCCGGTAACATCACTCACACGACGAAACACAATGCAAGCGTTATTTCACGTCGGTTTTCTGTGAGGCCGTAGAAGGAGTGTAATATAAAATTCTTGGTTTTGTAGCTGGCACGCAACGTGTCGTGGAGTCGATGCCCGCTTGTTTATTTTTTGTATTATCATCAAATGCTCAATTGTTGTTCCTGTATTAAAAAATATGTATTTGTCATTACACTCAAGACTTATGAGAAAATCCCAATGTTTAAAAAAGGATTTCTAAGAAATTTAATTTGTTGTCCTCAAGGTTATTTTCTTTTTCCGTCTCCTTGACCAAATATTGGTATTACATTGTTCTCACATAATTGAACTCAACGAAAGAATGTAACCAAAAATTGTATTGTGAACATGAGGAGCTTCACTAGAGGACTGACCTACAGACTGTCATTTTTTCTTATTATTTAAAATGTCAAACACCAAGCGGTCACCGGTGACCGCAACCTATTGTTCTATAATTGTGTCTACAAAACCGGTACTCGACGAATTAATATTTAAATATTTTGTTTTGACGTTCAAAAGTGCCATACTGGTCTAATTGAAATAAATGATTTTGACTTTGACTTTGATTAAGTGTGTGGACTATCTATTAACATAACTATTTTTTTTAAAGAGTAACGAATGAAATTTCTTGCTCGTTCTTCTCCATTCAAATCTACATTTCGGAATGAGCACCTAGCTTCACTGACGGACTGACTGACAGACTATAATTTATTTTATATTTGTTGACGTTTCAAAAGTATCAAATTATGGTTTAATTGAAATAAATGCTTCGACTTTGAAAAACAATTTTAAAATTTATATTGAAAGCGGAATTGCGCGTACGAAGTCGCGGGCAGAAGTTAATTAATATATAATTATGATTTCAGGTACTGCGGCAAGCTCCCATCGGATACTTTCACCCGGCTGGCTCCTCAGTGGTGGACTGAGGAAGTGGAATTGCCGGTCAAAGGAACCGGGCAGGTCAGGCCGGCCTATATATGTACTCTACGGCTACCACTCAACTGTCCCGTCAAATATAATATTGTGGTAAGTCATTTGTTAAAACTAACTTTTTTAAGCGTGGGAGAGCCATGCTACGGCACGAATGGGCCGGCTCGACCGGAGTGATACCACGGCCTTTCAGAAAACCGACGTGAAGCAACGCTTGCGTTGTGTTTCGTCGTGTGAGTGAGGTTACCGGAGGCCCAATTACCCTCTCCTTCCCCAATCTCCCCTATTCCTAAATCCCCAACGATCCTCAAACTCCTAATCCCCAAAAAGACGGTAACGCACTTGTAACGCCTCTGGTGTTCCAGGTGTCCATGGGCGCAACGATTGCCTACCATCAGGTGATCCGTCTGCTCGTTTACCGGCTTAAGCCATAAAAAAAAAATTAGCTTCCACCAGCGGCTTAGTCCACGTCCCAGCGAGATTTAAAGTAGCCTATGTGTTATTTCAAACCATTATCTACCCTGTTCCAAATTTCACCCCGATCCCTTCAGCCGTTTTGACGTCATTGAGTAACAAACTGATGGTAAGCAAGCGGCGTCGCCCATGGACTCACGGAACACCAGAGGCGTTACAAGTGCGTCACTGGCCTTTAGGGAATTAGGAATTGAGGATTGTAGGGGATTCAGGGATAGGGGAGATTGGGGAGGGGGGAGGTAGCTTCAATCACACAACCTGTAACAACGCTGTAGTAATGTCACTATGGCTTTCAGCTCGGCTCTGTTATCACTCCGGTGGAACCGGCACATTCGTAGCGATCATGGCTCTTCCACACTTGTTATTAATTAATTCTATGTTTGTTGTTGTTGACTGCCTCGTTGACCGAGTGGTCGCAAGTGCGACTGCTGGGCAAGGTATTATTGGGTTTTTAAAAATTCATAGTAGCACGGAGTCTGGTATTGTGCCCGGTATATGGCAATAGGCTCACCCCCTTTTACATGGGACTCATAAAATAATTGGTGAAAAGTGGGTGTTACATTGTACAGTGACATAATGTACACCTCTGCCTACCCCTTCAGGGATAAAAGGCTTGATGTTATGTATGTATGTTTGTCCAGGGTCACCCAATGCCGACGAAGGTGTTAGCTCGCCGAATGGTCGCGCTACAAGCGTGTCGGATACTACACAAGTCTGGCGAGCTGGACAATCAACTAATGCCCATAGGTAAGTGTCGTATACCTAATTATATTGAGTCGCGGAGAACCTAACGGGTTCCCGGGGCTCCGGCTCGACGTGTAGGAGTAGGAACGGGGTGGTTTTTAGTCAGTAAGAGTCTGACACTCCCTCGCGCCTCACCCAGGCGGGAGAAGCCATTCGATGAGTTTCCCCCCTAAAAAAATACCTAATTATATTCGAGTGCACGGTCGGCGCGGTGGCTGGGCAACCGGATGCCACCTAACGTGTAGCGGGTTCGATTACCGCACGAAGCAACTCTTTGTGTGATCCACAGATAGTATATAGTTCCGTGTGATGTGTATGTGAACTTGTATGTTTGTAAACGTATACACGACATGGGAGTCAATCTTAATGTGGGGCAAAGGTTTTTTTATAAAAGATAAAGAAATGCTTTAAAGGAATGTTCCAGACGGACATTAAACTGTCAAACACCAAGCGGTCACCGGTGACCGCTTGGTGTTTGACAGTTTAATTGTGTCTATATTGACGGTACTCAATGAGTCGAAATCAAATATAGGAAACTACCCTACTATAATAATAGTAAGGATATTTTTAGGTAAAGAGAACTTCAGAGCGGTGGAATTGGAAGGTGTGAACAATATCGGTACCTACACGGGTAATGAACCCGCCGACGCCCACGACTCCGCCCGCCCCGGCACTACTAAACGAAGGCAGTATTATTATAAACGGGTAAGGGGATACTGTTTGTTTGATTATTCATAATTATTATTACGTTATTGTTTTTTGGTATAAGCCGGTAAACCAGCAGACGGATCACCTGATAGTAAGCAATCGGCGTCGCCCATAGACACACGGAACACCGGAGGCGTTACAAGTGCGATACCGGCCTTTTGGGGATTAGAAATTTGAGGATTGTAGGGGATTCGAGGATAGGGTACTTGCCTTAATCAAAAATAAATTATTTCGACTGTTCAATACAATAAAATATTGAAAAATAATCACACTTTGTGACCAACTTAATATTAGTATTTCTCAAGCAAATTTTTAACAAATAACTATGTTGATTGACGCTAAAAAAACGTGACGTCACAATACATAATCTCGTACAAAATTCATAGAAAACTGTCGTTTTTGACAGTTCGAAAAAAAAGTATTGAAGTTGACTAGTTGGTAAGTACTGAATTGGCCCTCTATTGCCCTTCCTCCCACGACTGTCAACACCGCAGTGTGTCAGTGTGTCCAGGTCGTCGGTGGTACACTCCGGTCGAGCCGGGACTGCAGGCCCGAAGCATGGCGAACCCACACGGTATAGGTTTGAAATATATATTTTTTCCACAGACAGCTTGGGCGTTTACTGACTGTCAACCGGTAATAGACTCCACGGACGAACAAATCTACCCGGGTGTCGACCCTGATACCCTGGACATACACAGCGATGTAGAGGCTACCAGCCAGGAGGAGAAGAAGGAGGGGACTAGACATAAGGAGGGCAGGAGGGATGCCGGTGAGTTCATAGAGTTATGTTGTGGTCAAGGACATTGAAAAAAACACGGACATAGTCTCTTGAAGCAACGACTGCGGCACCTGGCTACTGTACACTTACATAGGACACACACACATCGACATGAAGGCAAATGTTCTTTAGGTTGGTATTGTTCGTCGAATCAGTCAGCCTCACCTGTTAATTGAGCTGACTGTAAACCGACACATGCGTACTGCCTTCAGAACGGGTCCGCTCAAACTGTTGTGGTTCTTTCCTCAAAAGCCCACTACAGAAAGAACTGGCACGGTTCTCACACATAATCTGTTATACATATTGTCTGGACTTTAAAAGAGACAGACCTCTGAGTTTGTTTCGGCATTTCTTCTCAGAGTAGTCAGTTAGGAAATGTCGACCTCATCGTTCGCTTGATAAAATTGACGTGTAAAAGTGCTGCTTTGTAGCCTATTTGCAGAAATAAATTCACTTGTTTCACTTGTTTCACTTGTTTCACTTGTTTCACTTGTTTCACTTGTTTCACTTGTTTCACTTGTTAAGGACATCTGTCATGTTCCTAATTTTTACCGACTTCAAAAAAGAAGGAGGTTTTTTATGTTTGTTTGCGTTTTGTTACGGATATTTGTCGGCTAGTCACGCTGAAACTGCTGATCGGATTTTGATGATGTACATGGTATGGGCTGACTTGGTGATAGCGACTTTTTAACATAACATAATAACATCACGCCTTTTATCCCCGAAGGGGTAAGCAGAGGTGCACACAGAAATAACACCCACTTTATGTTATAAGTCCCATGCAATAGGGGGTGAGCCTATTGCCATATACTGGGCAGATTTCCAGACTCCGTGCTACTACTGAGAATTTTTTAAAAACCCAGTAGTACTTTGCCCGACCCCGAGACCCCTTGCCCGGCAGTCGCACTTACGACCACTCGGCCAACGAGGCAGTCACGCCATAGGATTTTTTATCCCGACTAAATGCCCCAATGGGATAAAACAGGAATCATATTATACGCGGACGAAGTCGCGGGCAACAGCTAGTTCAATATACCTATGTTAAATTTTTTTTTTTTTTTTTTTTTTTTTTTTTTTTTTTTTTTTTGTCTGAGTGTTTACGATATTGTAATCTATTTTTACAGGTAAACGCAACATGCTGTATGCGATAGTATCAAAGTTATGGTGCGCCCTACCCGAACGGTATAATACTCGAGGCAGGCGACTCCACGCGCCGCAACTAGCTAGCCAGGCTATTGGGATACTCATGGCCAGGCAGGAGCCAGACAAGTAAGTCGAAAGTTATTTAGATAACAAAAATAAGTCTAAGATTGGCGATATATTAGAGAAGGGCCAAATTAAAAGTACCCTTAACCGACGAGCATGCATGAAAAGATTGATGACTGTTAATGAAGCGAAAGAGGTATGTAAGAATCGTAGTAATTGGCGTTCCTTAGTATCTGTCTACCCCCATGGGAGACAGGCGTGAAGTTATGTATGTATGTAAATAAGTCTAAGAACTTAGTTTCTTTTGAGAGCAGAAGGTTTGAGCATTAATCGCCACGCTTGTTCAATGCGGGTTGGCGATTACATACTTATAATTAGAAATACCAGTCCAGGGGGCTTACTCTTGAATCCAATTCCGATCGATCGACATTGGTATTGTGAAATTTTGTACTCTTGAGTTGCAACACTAGCGCCTTGCATCCGTATTGCGTGGATATTGAATGAACTAAATGGTATTGAGTTTGTCTTTATATTCCGTACTCTGAATGCTATTGTAATAGCTACGATTGTGGTTGTATAGTGTTGATCATTGAATAATTATTGAGATTTTATTGGATTGAAATTGCATTGACATTGAGATTGGTTTCAAGAGTAAGAGCCCTGATTAGAAAGGTGGATTAAAAAGCTACGATTCTTGTTGTATTGGCTATGTGCAAAGCGAGTAGTGGCGGACAGATGACGACCGCAGCGCACGACACGGCAGAAATTGGAAACAAATGCGGATGATCAGCTGTCAAATGTATTGATTGCAGTACAAAATCAAAGCAAAGAAATGGACCATGGCTCGTATTAAGTAGCTCTGGCCGTTATGTCGCAGTTCTTCCACATTTCTTACATGCTCGGCTAATACTAATTTATTGCCTTTTGTCTCAGTTTGTGGTTGGAAACTAATATTATGTGTAATAGTTTCAAACCCGGTTTTTATTATTATATTCATTTTACAGTAAAACTATTGAATAAATTGCACTTATATAATGTCAACAATACTATTTTATTTAGATTTGCAAAGAAAATTATAATGTTTACATTGTTATTATTTGACAGCTTCCGCAAATGTTGTAAACGCTACGCGTCGCCACCGTCGCGCACATAGCTAATAGTGTTGACATTGAATAATTATTGAGATTTTATTATTTGATTGAAATTGCATTGACATTGAGATTGGTTTCAAGAGTTTCCTCACAATGTTTAGCTTATTACATTTACCTCTGAAAGTCGTCGCATATCTAACAAGCACGGCTACAACCCAGCAATGAAGTTGTCATTTAAATAACATCATAAAATCACGCCTTTTATCCCCGAAGGGGTAGGCAGAGGTGCACATTATACCAATGTACAATGTAACACCCACTTTTCACTATTTATGTTATGAGTCCCATGTAATAGGGGGTGAGCTTATTGCCATATACCGGGCACAATTCCAGACTCCGTGCTACTACTGAGTTTTTTTTTAAAAAAGCCCAGTAATACAAATAAATTGATTTGATTTGAATACTTTGCCTGGCCCAGGACCACTCGGCCAACGAGGCAGTCTGTCATTGAAATATGAACTTTAAATCATCCTTACTAATATTATAAATTGGAAAGTGAGTTTGTTTGTTTGTTCCGCTTTCACGCCTTAACTACTAAACCGATTGCTTTGAATTTTTGCAGACGTAAAGTTAGAAGTCTGGATTAAATAATAGGATATTTTTTATCCCGGAAAAATGTGATATTCCCGAGGGAAAACAAAAGTATTGGTATAGATGGCGCTGTGTGTATTGGTATATGTCACATAGGCTACTTTTTATCCTTTTGTGACGCGAGCGAAGCCGCGGGTAAAAGCTAGTATGTCATGTTTTATAACGTCAATATAAAAAAAGCGGCAAGCGCGCAGCCCGCGCGCTAATGGCGCTCCAACGATTTTGAATTATTCGAAGCCGTGCCGAAGCCGTACTCTGTGTACCCACTCAATAATAATGAAATACTCCCCCAGTCTCCAGATCCCGTCGTTCCCGGTGTACACGCGGTCGGGCGAGGTGCGAGTGTCCGTGGAGCACGTGGCCGGGGCCGACGTCAGGATGTCGCCGCGACGAGCTAAACTCATTCGAAGGTACGTGGCTTTCTGTGAGGTATCACTCCGGTCGAGCCGGCCCATTCGTGCCGAAGCATTGACTCTCCCACACTTATTATTATTTTTTTAATAATATACGCCGGTAAACGAGCAGGCGGATCACCTGATGGTAAGCAATCGGCGTCGCGCATGGACACCTGGGACACCAGAGGCGTTACAAGTGCGTTACCGGCCTTTTGGGGATTAGGAGTTTGAGGATCGTTGGGGATTCTGGAATTGGGGAGATTGGGGAAGAGGAGGGTAATTGGGCCTCCGGTAACCTCACTCACACGACGAAACACAACGCAAGCGTTGCTTCACGTCGGATTTCTGTGAGGCCGTGGTATCACTCCGGTCGAGCAGGCCCATTCGTGCCGAAGCATTGACTCTCCCACGCTTATTTTTTTAATAATCGCGCCCCAGAAGTTAATTAACCGACTTTAAAAAGAAGAGAGGATTTAAGTCGGTTTTTTTAAACGTAGTTTATTTATAAAAGAATTATTTGTGTTACAGGTTTATGCGATTTGTATTCGCGGAAGTATTGCGCGTACGTCGGCGCGGTATGAAACTACAGAGCGAAGGTTCTACCCACAACAACTACTACATCGTGCCTACAGTTAAAAGTGAGTTTCAACATAACATAATACCACGCCTTTCATCCCCGAAGGGGTAGGCACAGGTATCCCTGAATCCCCCTTTTTTTGAGGGATGAAAGTCATCGAATGACTTCTCCCGGCCCCGCCCGGGTGAGGTAAAGAGGAGTGTTAGATTCTTACTGAGTAAAAACCACCCCGTTCCTACTCCTGCACGTCGAACCGGAGGCAACCCGCTAATTCTTCCGCGGCTCCGTATCGGCATCAGCCCTATTGGACCCCATCCGTGGTGGTCTGATGGTACGCTCGGATCCCTGAATCCTCAACAATCCTCAAATTCCTAATACCCAAAAGGCCGGTAACGCACGTGTAACACCTCTGGTGTATCAGGTGTCCATGGGCGACGCCGATTGCTTACCATCAGGTGATCCATGTTCTCGTTTACTATAAAAAGTTTGAGTATTTGGACGTTAACCTCTCATTCCAGCGGTGTCTCCAGACGGTCTACACAAGATAGACATAGACTGGGACTTCCTAGAACTCATATACCAACATACGGAAGAGAAGAAAGCGAGTGACTTAGAGAAACCAGTACTGTGGCAGGAGATGCCTGAAGAGGAGAAGTCTGAGAAGGATTCTAACAGGTAAGACTATACACGAATATATTCATACGACTGCCAGGCAAGGGGTCTCAGGGCAAAGTATTGCTGCGTTTTAAAAAAAATCTCAGTAGTAGCACAGAGTCTGGAATTGTGCCCGGTATATGGCAATAGACTCACCCCCTATTACATGGGACTCATAACATAAATGGTGAAAAGTGGGTGTTACATTGTACTGTGCACGTAATGTGCACGTCTGCCTACCCCTGCTGCTCTTATGAGCCCCTCTGTAGCTCGAAACTAGTAGAGCTTTTCTCAGTATATTCACGTGAATACCCCGCAATTTTTAGTTAATTTAGGTAACCATGCAATTTCGTATTCGTTCTTCTACATAGGAATCTACACTTTGGAACGAGCAAATAGAGCAACTAGTGGACTGACCGACAGACTGTCAATTTTAAATAAATTCGTTTAACGTTCGATAGTAGAAGAAGACACTTCTTGGTCTAAAATGATTTGAGTTCACCTACTTCATTATATTTCCTTCCTCAGACGCAGAAGAGGCAAGAAGCGAATGGCGAATCCCCTCTTGAAACAAGGCGAAACGTTTGTATTTGACGCGGAAAGATACAAGGAGGCTGTAGTCACGCCCTGGTATAGGAACCAGGATCAACCTCAGGTGAGAGGAATTGATAGTTGATATGCCGTGAGTTGATATGAGGTAATGAAAGACACTTTCCGCTTTTCGCATCGCAAAAATGTGCGAGCTCCCTCTACGTATCGCAAGAACTTGCGAAATGATTCGCATCGCGCATCAAAATCTTATCTTCCGAATATCTTCTTTGTTTCTCTTTCCTGTATGTCCTAAGCAATAACAGAAGCGCACACTTCTTTTTACGATCCATGTCACGACCTAGTTTTCAATTTAAAATACGTTTAGTACGGTTGACGGTCGTCGAAGGAATGGTTACTCTGGGAGACGCCTTGTCGCACGAAATCACATCGCAGCAATTCGCATCGTAATTTTTTGCGTTGCGAAATCGTATCGCATTGCAGTTTTGTGTACGAGTCCTGTTTGTTTAGAATATTTTGCCCGTATATGGAGCTCCATGGATCCGTAACGAGGTGATCCGACAGAGAACTAAATTTACCGACGTAGCCCAAAGGATTAGCAAGCTGAAATGGCAGTGGGCCGGTCACATTTGTCGAAGAACCGATGACCGTTGGGGTAGACGTGATGTAGAGTGGAGACCGCGTCTAGGCAATCGTACCTAGTGTAGGGGGCCCTCCAGCTAGGTAAAGTGACGATATCCGCAAGGTGGCTGGTAGTGGTTGGATGAGAGGAGCTGAAGACCGAGCTCAGTGGCGCGCCATTGGAGAGGCTTATGTCCAGCCGTGGACGAGGATAAGCTGTTAATGATATGGACCTCTCGCACTCGGCTCTGTGCCGAGATTCGGTGTTTGGATGAGTGTAATGAAACCAACGAGGTCCGAGAATCATCATCATCATCATCAACAGCCGAAAGAGGTCCACTGCTGGACAAAGGCCTCCCCCTTGGCCCTCCACGTCGATCGACAACTCGCCACCCACATCCACTGGCTCCCTGCAACTCTGGCGATGTCGTCGGCCCACCTAGCGGGAGGCCTGCCCACGCTTTGTCTTCCAGTCCATGGTTTCCACTCAAGGACTTTCCTGGTCCATCTGCCGTCAGTCCGTCGAGCGACGTGGCCTGCCCATTACCACTTCAGTCAGCTCCGAGAATACACTGGATATATTGAATTATTGGATCCTTATTATACAGAGTGATTTGTAATTAGACCACAATCTCGGATGGGGTTATAGAACAGATCAATTCCAACATTTTTGTCGAACAAAGGGATAGGCGAAAATGAACAGTTATTAATATATTTAACTTTTACTGTTAATCTCAAAATGACGCCCGAAGTAACTTTAAAACTGAAAAAAAAAAACAACTTAAAAGAAACGTGCTTGACCCAATTAAAGAAAGAAATTTAGGTCAAGTGTGTTTCAAACGTCATTTTGATTGCTTCGTTGAAACCTCATATTGTAAACCACCCTGTACACACTATAGAGATAGACGAATAAAAGCGATTTAAAAAAAATGTATTTAAACTGTCAAACACCAAGCGGTCACTGGTGACCGCAACCTATTGTTCTATAATTGTGTCTGTAATGACGGTACTCGACGAGTTAACAGTAAATGTTAAATATTTTAATAACCATTCATTCCGCCTATACTTTTTTAATAAAGATAAAAGTAAAACTATATAAACTTATTTTAATGACGCCCGAAGTAACTCTAAAACTGAAAAAAAAAAACAACAAAAAAGAATCGTGCTTGACCCAATTAAAGAAAGAAATTTAGGTCAAGGGCGTTTCTTTTTTTTTTCACGTTGTCACACTAGGATTTTCTCCTGTGTGAGTGCGTTTACAAACATACAACGCACACGCACGTTCACATACGCATCACATACAGACACACACACAGAACGACAATTTGTGGATCACACAAAGAGTTGCTCTGTAAGGGGATCGAACTCGCTGCACGTTGCGCGACAGCCCAGCAGTTTTGCTTTTATAATTATTATAGAATTCTTAAATCTTGTTCCAGTTCTTCCTAGTAGCAGAAATATGCTGGAATCTAACTCCAGACTCCTCGTTCCCATCGGCCACCCACCAGAGCTTCAGAGACTACTACAGCACGAAGTATGGAGTCACTCTCACGCAGAGGGACCAACCACTGCTCGACGTGGACCATACTTCTGCTAGACTTAATCTACTTACACCTAGGTAAGTTACCACCGTCACTCTTCAGGTGGGGTGTAGCATACCCATCCGTTTACAGATGTTGATCATATTTCTGTGGACCATAGTTCTGTAGACAATATTTCTGTGGACCATACTTCTGTGGACCATAATTCTGTAGACAATATTTCTGTGGACCCTAGTTCTGTGGACCATAATTCTGTGGAACATACTTCTGTTTGATTAGCTCATAGCTCAGCTCATATTATATTGATATAACTTAATGTCCACAAAATTGTGAATTAGGTACCTATTAAGGTTTTAATGAATAATTTTGTATGGAACTTATGGCACCGACTTCTTACCTATCAGTGGGTGGGTTACTGATAGGTTTATCAGTACTAATTAGTTATTTTTTTGCTTTTTAGTTTTGACTTTTTGTTTGTTATTAGTTTTTGGTTTTTTGAAGTCGGTTTTTTAAACGTAGTTTTTATTAAATAATTTACCAGACGGACATTAAAAAAAATTACTCATTTACCCTATTGAACGTATGTTTCCGATTACAGATACGTAAACCGCAAAGGCGTAGCCCTTCCCGTGTCATCAGAGCGCACCCGGCGAGCTAAACGAGATCGCTTGGATCAGAAACAGATTCTAATACCGGAGCTATGTCGCGTGCATCCATTCGCCGCGCCGCTCTGGTTCGCTACTGTAGCATTGCCCTGTGTCTTGTATAGGTATGTTGATATTTTTTAATGTTTTTTTTTTCAAGAGAATGGCAACTTTAAACTCTGCCTGATCGGTATTTTACGTTTTATCTGAGTTAGTATTACGACTGGGCCGCCTCGACCGCAGTGATACCACGGCCGAGCAGAAAACCGACGTGAAGCAACGCTTGCGTTGTGTGTAGTCGTGTGAGTGAGGTTACCGGAGGCCCAATTACCCCCACCCCCTCTCCTTCCCAATTTCCCCTCTCCTTCACCAGTCACCCCCTCCC